GATTATTTTCTGGAGATTTGTATAAGTATTGAATTTTCTGAAGATTCATTTTGTCTTTCATTAATTGAGCTGCAAAAAAAAAATATTCCATGTATGTTTGTGTTATCACTTAAGAACATTTTCAAAAGTCTTTCTTGACTGATAAAATAAAAATTGTTTTATAGATAAAACCAGAAAAAGGAAGTTTAAAATTGATATTGATGAGGCAATATTTAGTATTGAGTGCCTTCAGAGTCATACTGTCTTCCAAAGTGCAATCCAAACACGTACACAAAACATTTCAATAACAGGCTTCTGTCACCCTGCCACTCTTTTCCGTGCCTCCCAGCTCTTGATGCTGCACTGCCTCTTCCTTCACAGGAAGGAAGTTCCTTTTTAAGTTCACCTTTATTTTCCCCTGACTCTGGTTTTCACTGGGATTGTTCAAAGGAGCAGTGGTTGACATGATTTTAAAGAAGCAGAAACATATGCACCACAGATGACAAACTTCTTACTGTCAACCACTGTCCGTGTATAAATGCTAGGGAGCTGTGGGCCCCATGGAAACTTCCTGTTTCCATGGAAGGGTGCAGCAGGCCCTACCTGATGTGGATAATCACAGCTCATGTGCATCTACAGTGCAACACCAATTTCAGCTCTGGAGTCAGCATCTTAGTCACCTTTCATTGCGTGTACTCTAAACCTGAATTCCAGAACACACACACACACACACACACACACACACACACACACACACACACAGTGACACCCATGCATTAATGACATATAAAGACAATGTATTTTAGATGAAAAATCACTGTTTTCCTAGTTGCTACATAATCCTATAATGCATTAAACATACGCTTGCTGTTATTGGATAATTAGTGCAATAAATGCAGTGTCATGCCTCTTAGTCATTCTTCCTTCTGCTGAAGACACACATTCTCACACTCACATAAGCACAATCACTATAGCACACACTTTATCTCTCTTACTCACATGCATTCATATCACAATCCTAATCACACTGTAGTATTCCTTCTTTCTTTTTTCTCTCTCCATCTCTCTCTCTCTCTCTCTCTCCCCCCCCTCTCACACACACATACATGTCAATCCTTCCTTAACTCAGTTTCTGAAGATAGTGGTGACTGATAGCTCTCAAGTATCTTTCCTTTAACTTATTTCTAGAGAATAAAAACCAAGATTAAAGCCTTTCTTGTGTCATCCAATAATGTCTTACAAGAGTGCAAGACTATCATCTGTTTGCCTGAGCATAAAGAATCATCTCAGCTTCATCTGTGCCTGGCTGATCCATTAGCATGGATTTTTTTTTTTTTTGCATAGAATTTACTATCTCCCTCTGTCTGCTTTTGCATTTTCCATCTCTCTATAACTGTTGGCTACAAAATATTCCCTAATAAACTTGTTATAAATATCTTTGATGGAATTTGTGTTTTGGGGAACTAACCTACAATAATAAATATGAAATTACTAATATTAGGGAGAAATTACTTTTATGTTGAGATAGGTCTTCAAAGTGTTTTAGGCTCTAAAAGATGGAATAAATACTTATCAAAATAATTTCATAGTCTAGTGCTTGCTTTATGTTCTTTTCCTCTCTTTTTCTTATTAATACTACCCTCATTAAGAGAACATGCAATATGACTATTTTCAAAGTAAAAAATTAGGCATTTTACTTTCACAATTCTTGAATGTTGTAAATGGAGATGTTGGCTGAATATAAATCTCACCTTTATAGATGAGAAAATTAGAAAAACTAAACTCCCTGTGGCCACTCAGGTTTCTTATTTCAGATGAACTTATTAAATTTTAAGCTGCCTGAAGACAAGACAGGAAACTAACCTTTTGTGAGCAGAACTATTATTCACTATATGCAGTACCCGTTTCAGAAGTGTTCTATAAAACTTATATTAATAAATGTATTCAGCACCTTGACCACCATATTATTTGCTCCTATGCTGTTCATATCCTCTGTAAGCTCTGAACTTGATGGTGTGTAAGGCAGATCTTTTAAAAAGCCTGAAGTGCATGGAATCTTATGAAAGAAGAGGGAAATAGTAAGATCTGGAGAGGACAGGAACAACACAAGAAGAGCAACAGAACCAGAAAATTTGAACACAGGGGTCTTTCCAGAGACTCATATTCCAACCAAGTACCAGGCATGGAGATAACCTAGAACCCCTGCACAGATGTAGCACATGGCAGTTCAGTGTCCAAGTGGGTTACATAGTAATGGGAAGAGGGACTGCCTCTAACATAAACTGATTGTCCTGCTCTTTGATCACCTCCCCCTGAGGGGGGAGCAGCCTTACCAGGCCACAGAAGATGACAATGCAGCCACTCCTGATGAGATCTGATAGATTAAGATTAGAAGGAAGGAGAGGGGGACCTCCCCTATCAGTGGACTTGGGGAGGGGCATGCATGAAGAGGGGGGAGGGAAGGTGAGATTAGGACGGGAGAAGGGAGGGGTTCTATGGGGGGATACAAAGTGAATAAAGTGCAATTAATAAATGTTAAAAAAAAACTGAAAAAAAAAGTCTGAAGTGTCAAGAGCAACCTATTCCAGACAAATTGAAACAAATGGTTTAACTATGTATTTTTGTACAAAAATGTAAAGTGAGAAAGGGAGATCTCATTTTGTATGTTGCTGTGACAGATGCGCTGTAGCTGTAAGTCCCTGAGAAAGTTCTAGGGATGAGCACTTAGGGGCCTGTGGAAATCAGTTGTTTGTCCTTCTATGTATAGTTATTAAATTTGTATATTGGATGAAATAAAGTATCATAGAAGGTCTAAAATGATTAGATAAACAAAATAATGACTATTTTACCATGTTACCTTATTAAACCAATGTCAGTGAGGTCTCCTTCCGTACTTTCATCAGCAGCTCATATAAAAACAAAAGTGAAAAACAATTATATGAGATAATATATATATGTCACTCTGCTTAATTTGAACTCTCAACATTGTATACACATATCAAAACCTTTTGTTGTACCCCATACATGTATGTAACTATGATTTGTCATTGAAATAATGCCAGTAGGAAGAGAAATATTATTACTGGCTTTTATCACTCTTGATTTCGTGATGTCTCCTTCCACTAGAAACAGATTATTTTTTCCCCCACAGTACTCAGAAGCAGGATTCATGTGCGTAGCATATGGCAGCCAGGAATTAAACACAAGGCTGATGGGCACTCCTCAGGTGACAGTCAACACCTTCGTAAGCATCTTAGATTATGTCACAGAGAGGACAGAAGCCACAGTTTATTTTTATAAGGAGAACCCAGAGTACTGGAGAAGCACCATGGGGAAAAGGAAAAGAAACCAGGAAGCTCCTGAATAATAAACATAAATTTTACTGCTTTTTGTCCTCCCAGACCAATGGGTTCTTTTTGTTATTTTTATTAACCCCAGTATAGATATTCAACATCGTATTCAACTGTTACTTCATAGCTTGGAAGAGACTGAAGGTGTCTCTAAATAAGACCATGACAAAAATAAAAATGTCAGGTCATTGACAACACTGAAGCAAATACAGAACAAAACAAGACAAAACAAAATAAAATAGGTCTGAGTAGTTCATTTCTTCAACCTGAAATAGACGAGCCAAAGAAGAGAAAGTATAACACAGCAGAATTCTTTTCAATGATGATGAAGCCTCAACTAAAATGACAATACAGTGAGAGAATGTATTCAAAAATTAGCATCTTTCTTGACATGTAATATACACTCAATAACACTACACCACATATCTCAAACACATAAATCTGTTTGTAAATGTCTAACACCTACATCTCCAAGCAATTGTGTAGAGGACAAGGGTTTCTAGGAAATATTTAACTACAGACTGGGATTTGCCAGTACAACAGGAAGCACTAGGTATTCAGAGTCATAAAGAAAAGAGGCCACAGACAGTCCTTAGGGGTTAAGCCAGACAACCGCTATTATTGAGAGAGGAAGAATGGGCTTTGTAGATGACAGTTACATTTTGATTTCGCATGGCTTAATGTCAAAGTAGTGACAGTCCTTACACAACAAAATGATGACAGCTGTATGAGCGATTTGGGATCTGGGCAGATACATGGTTTGCAGATTTGATTTTCAATGAGTACTTAACCCTACTGTCCATCATTTACATTTCAAGTTACCGGAAATTTCCCTGACTCCATCTGCAGATGTGCCATCACAGCACAATCTCCGTAGTTCTGCTTCCTTCTTCCTCATCCGTCTTTCATGAATTCTGTTATGCTTTGTAGAGATGACACATCCTCTTTGTTTTATTCCAGCAAATAATAGTGCAGTTAGTTTCTGTTTCTACCCCCATAAGCATTCCAAATCATGAAACTGTGGGCTTAAGAGGAATATGGTTGACAGCTTGTACTCACTGCTTCCTTCAAAGGAAGACTAAATTAGAGAATTCCATGCAGACCTTTATGCTTCTTAAGGGAAGGAAGGTGGTTTGCATTTTTGAAGGATAAATTGCATCTAAAAAATCTCAACAATCCATGTGCTGAAATTTTGTCTGTTCTACGGTTATCCTCTGATCATAGAGATAACTTTCTTACTTTCAAATTGTTAAATTCTAGGTTACTATTGAGGTGTAAGAAAAAACAAACCTGAGAATTATGTTGTCTATGTAGGTACATTATTAAGTGGTTGAATCCAGGAGTTAAGTATTGGTCTTTTGTTCTCCATTAGACCTCTCTCAAAAAACAAACAAACAAATAAATAATAAATAAATAAACAAATAAATAAATTAAAAAGAAAGAAAGAAAAGAAAAGAAAAATAGAAAACCTTTATTTTCACATAAAACTGTAGAATACTGTTTGGGGGTATTATAGTACTTGAAGGGTGAATTTCATGGAGAACTGTACTGGTTTTCTCACACTTACTGAGAAATTTCAGGTTCATGCACAAGAGTTTGCAGGTCACAACTATCTACACAGGAATTTGAAAGATGTTTTTTTTTTTTTTTTCCTTTTCTGTTTCTTCCCAGACTACGTACCGAAGTCGAACTATGAGCCAAAGTCTCAGCACAAGGGACAGAAAAGCAATCCATACTCCCACCGAGGACCGTTTTAGATACTCTGCAGCTGACCAGACAAGTCCTCACAAGAACATCTGCCAACTCCCAGGGATGTGTCTAAGCAATTTCTTAAAGGACAAGGAATTAGGAGGAGTTATGAAACATGCAAGGGGAAATTATGAAGCTGTCACCTCCGAAGTGACACAGAACTCGAGGATGACTGTGGGACAGAGTTTTCTGAAGCCAGCCACTAAAACAGAAGGACTCTCCATGTTCTCAGAGAAACCAAAGGACCCAGCAGCTCTGTCCCGACAGCACTCCACCTTCACGGGCAGGTTTGGACAGCCACCTCGAGGACCTATCTCCTTACACACATACAGCAGGAAGAATGTTTTTCTCCAACACAATTTACACACCACGGAGTTCCAGACGCTGGGCCAGCAGGATGGGTAGTTAGATCTTTTCTCTGTGAACAGCAGAGATGGCTATTGTTCCATGTGCCGTCTAAGAGTGGTCATGTCCATCTTCCTGCTTTTATTTTTATCTGTAAGCAAAGACTTATGGGCTTTCATTTTATTTCCAAGAATGACAGGTTGAGTATGTTGACTTACTAGGATGAAATGTTCAGAAGGCTTTGCTCTCTTGGTGGAAATATACATGTATAATGAGTGGGACCATCTTGCTGGCTTTTGTGGTCTCTAAGCTATTTACTTATATTTTTTCTGTATCTCTTGCTAATGTGCGTTTAGGTTTCAAGAAGGCAATGTCGAATAACTCTCTGTTTATGATCTTACTATAAAGTAGGTTAGAAGAATGAGGATAGGAAGGACTGTACAGTTTTAGATTACGTAGCTGCTAGAAAGAGCAAAACAGACTTAAAGCTTATGCTAGGTGGCGTATTTCTTCATGGAATGAGGCTTGTGTGCATGTACTAGAGATACCTTTGTTTCTCTGTTACATACATTCAAGCTTATGGAGCTATTAGGGGCAACAACCGTTTCTTTAGTTTTTAAAATGTTTAGTTACACTACTTCACAAAGGATGGAGAGTCACAGCTCTGCTCTTCAAAAGGTTTTGTTTTTTATTTTTTGTTTCTTTGTTTGTTTTCCTACTGTATAAAAAGTATCAAAGTATCATGGAATGAAGTGACAGAGTCAGCTTAACTTTGCCAAACGGCACACTTTGTGGGCACTGTCGTGGATAAGTAAAAACATTTCTTTTTCTTTAAATTTCAAGGATTTAGTATTCTAAAATATATATATATTCTTTTACTACACTTGTTTTGTATTCTCAAAATATTCATTTATTTTTATATGCTTCTAGGTTTATTTTACAGCCATTAACCTCTGATGTTTTAATTAAGAAACAGAAAGACTGGTTTTGTTCTATTTTGTTTGCAACCTACATATAAAATTCAGGCTATGCACTTACTTGATTTTTCAACCAAATATAAAATATGTGAATTTTGGCAAATTCACCTACAAAATAAATATCTAATTAAAATACTTTAATCTCATTTGGTAGCAAACATTAATCTTTGATATGTAAGGCCTGATATTTTGCATACTTAAGTTCATAGGTGTTAGATCAAAAGAGCTAAATAGAAGCCTCATGCTCATTTAGACGAGCGTCCAATGGCAGTTTCCTTAGAGAAAGGTCGGGGCTAGTAATTCTGTGCTTTCATATAGTGGGTGTGCTGACACTATCAGACCCTCTGCATGTGCTGTCTCATGCATTCTCTAGTACTGGAGTCCACCAGCATGCACCAATGAGATGGACAAAGGGAATAACATGGCAGCTTTAGCATGCCATCTGACCAGGCTGCCAAGACTAAAGCCACATACAACATGCATCACCTAATACAAAAATAGGTTTGAAGCCTACACTTTTGGGGAGAACCCTGAGATGCCCCTCCCAGCTTTAACTGCTGAAGTTTGGCTATGCTGTACTTGTTTTGTTTTGCTGGTGAAGATATGCACGTCACACAGCCTCTCTTTGGTGTCTGTCTCATATGTGTGTTTAAGGCACTGCATCTTGCTGCCTAACATTCCCAGCATCCTCTAGAAGTGGCAGAAGTCGTGTGGGTGTGCACTATTGGCCAGACAATATTTGTGAAACCACAGAAAATATAATTAATTGTAGAACTCAGCTTGATTTGTACTGAAACTTGGTTTCTATTGTTAGAATATTTTAAAACTGTAAATACCCAAGCATGATAAACAAAACAGGTCTCTTTTTCTCCAGGATATGGAAGAATATGCAAGAACTCAAGTAATGGTTTTGATTTGCATTTTGAAGTTTATAGTTATGTTTTCTTGGAAGATAGCTTTTGAATTATACTTTGTAAGAAATAATCTATTTAAAAAATCTGTCATTTAACAGACATTTTAAGAGATGTTTTAAACTCTAGTATTTTCTTGACAAACCTTTTTTAAACTGAAACATTCAAAAAGAAACCCTGGGATAACCTGCTCAATTTTGAAAGGAAGGGTATTTTTGGAATGATCACCTTGAAACTGTTTTGTATCAGTATTTTCATCATTGTTCTAGCTTCGTTTGTAATACCCAGTGTGACTCAGGCCTGGAGAAGGTGTAAGCCAACGATGTTAATGCAGGTCAGTAACAATGGTGTGGGGTTCTTTTAGAAGTTCCTCTGTGTGGCTATCCTAAGTTGTAACAACCTCATGTGGGCATTCTTTCAGTGAATTGATTTCTTTGTACTAAAATCTCTAGTTTTCTAAGACTGTTCCACATGTCAAACAGTTTTCTACATTTCTCCAAGGCAGTACATATCCAAAGACGTGATGCCAGGGAAAAATTGCTTGTTTTTCTGATGAAGCAATGGTCTCCTCCTTTTTCTTCTTTGCATGTACTCGTGTAGCTAAGTCAGAATAACCATGTAACATTTCTGCTGCAGACTCTTCTTAACACAGGTGTAGAAGAATCATTCCATGAAGAAGAACTGTGTCTACCTGAAATAAACGATTCCCACTTTTGTAACCAACAGAATATGAAGCTTTCTTTCTGTAAAGCCTCTTATTTGTTTTTCCAGGTTTTTTTGTTTGTTTGTTTGTTTGTTTTGTCTGATCAGTGTCACCACAAAATCTTCAGTCATCTCTCAAACTATCTCTGCTTTTCTGGAGCACCCTCATATTTGTCTAAATGATGCAATGAGGCTGTTTCTGCCAAGGTATAACAATCAATCCAACCATCCCTAGTGATGTACTTGGGGTGCAGAGAGAGAAACATGCATTATGAAAGGTTTTATTGTTATTTATTGACTTGTGTATATATGAAAATAAGATGATAGTTAAAATGAAATAATCTCAGGAAATGGCATGCACAAAGTTGCTAAACAGAACAAGTTTACAGACATTGTCATGATTAGTCGGGGTTACTCTCCTGTGTTTTCACGCTGTTATATTCCTAGGCTTAACCCCAAGTCCCTGTGATTCTGTCCATGGTGTCCAAGTTAAATGAAAATTTTATATGTATTTTTTTCTTTTCCTTGTATATTCAATAGAGAAATTATTACTCCCTGATTCCAAAAGGAGTTAGGACCCATTTTCTCCATAATTACACACTTAAAGATCACATTCATAAAATAATTGGTCACTTTCATTGGCTTTCCCAGCAATTTAGTTAGTGAGACAACAAAGGCAGTTCAACAACAAGTGAGTCCTATTTTCTGCGTAACGCGTCACTATATTATCAACTTACTTATAAATATGTTTTCTACAGTAATACCTACCTAGGAGTACCAAGTAGCACCACTTTGTGTTGGAGTTTTGTTTAACAATATGTGGTTTCTAAGACCATCTTTATCTACCCACAGTGGGTACCTCTATTCAAAAAGGTTAAATTGTTCTTTGTTATTTTTTTAATTTTTAATTTTTAATTTTTAAAATTAATTTCAGTTTATTCATTTTGTATCCCAGCTGTAGCCACCTTCCTCCTCCCTTCCCAATCCCACCCTCCCTCTGTCATTTCCTCCTATACCCCTCTCTTTGTTATTTTACCTAATAACTTACTTATATGTTTTTCATATATTCATGTGCCTTTGGTTGACTCTTTGATCTTTCTTGTCTCCTTGCCACCCCTAACAAGTTAAATTTTCCCATGCTGAGAAAAAATATACATAATACATTTATAATAATATATTTTATATAATATATATATTTATATAGTATATAATATATTTTTAAATTTTCTCATGCTTAGTAGTATATAATATATATGATAATATTAAGCTTGAGTAAATTAAAGATGTTAATTAATATATATATTATTTTTTGTTTAAGTATACTAAATGCTATTATCTACCCTATATTTTACAACTTAAAATCATAATTTCTCCAAGTTTTGCTCTCTCTCCTCTCTCTCACAAACATACATGCACACACAAACACAATCACACACACACACACACAAACACAGCTTTAGTTTTTCAAAATGTTTGTAAAATCCTTAAAAACTCATAAATTGCATTGCTTATATTCAGACATGGACCCTGTAAATAACCTCAGGTTCATGAAAGAATGCACAACAGCCAATAAATAAACGTCTTCAACCTCCAAGAGTTTCTATGATCACACAATTTCAGAGTAAGTGGTGTCTCTCTATGTTGTGGATTTTTTTAAATACTATTTTTTAGGTAATAAGATTTCAAAAAGCTGAAATGATGCAATCAGATATATTTTAAAATTACATGTCTGGACATTTGTCCATCTATCTGTTCAGCCATGGAAAGTTTTGTTTGACTGTGAACACTGTCCTTTGTAAAAAGTGTGGTCAATCATTTTCTATTTTACTGAAAATTTATATAATCTATTCCAACTACTCTTCTTCCCCAATATTTTTTTTAAATCCCCCACCTGTTCAATTCCATGACCTCTTTCTCTCTCTACTTAGAAAACAAACAGGCACAAAAATTAAAAAACAAAACAAAACAAAACAAAAAAAACAGTAACAAGAATCAATGACTACCAATGAAAAGAATGATGATGGAAAATCACAACAAACACACACACACAAACAAAAGTTTGCACAAAGAAAACCCATAAAACAATATACAAGCAAATAAACAGTAAGATTTTTAAAAAATCCCCCCAAAAGCAGTATGAGACAAAAACTCTACAAAATTCTACAAAAACACAATTGAATTGGTTTTATGTGGATCATCTTCTGATGGGCATGGGCCTTACACTGACGTGTGGTTTATATACTTATTAAGATTCCATTGGAGAAAACTGATTTTTCCTTTACAAGCAACTGTCAATTGGTGTCTAAATGTTCTTCTCTGCCTTGGGACCTATACTTACTTGAACCATTTTTCTGATGTTACACTGAATAGCTGTTTCAATTATAAAGCAACAATGTTAAATATTTACAAGTTAATATTACATATAATATGTTACCTATTTTCTCAAATACTCTATAACTTCTTCTTTTATGATTTTTATTATTCTAAAATAGTGAATGCACTCTTACCTGTTATAAAATTGGTAAAATATACACATCACAGAATTAAATATCAATGATGAATTCTATAACTCTAGGGAAATTTAAAAATCTAATCACTTAATTTCATAATGAAAAATGGAAGAGAAATGATACAGAAATTCAGTTTGAGTAGTTAGTGTAGCTGTGCATCGTGTCAGGATGTCACAATAGTCAAAATACAGCAGATCATTCCTGTATTTCAAGCATTAAATAGATTATGCAAAATGAAAAAAAACAAAAATGAAAACACGTTATTATGTATAAAAATATGTGTATAAGTTCATTCTTGAATTCTGCTGGTACATTGCAAAATA